GAACATTTACTTCGATCCGTTTCCGCGTCACCATTCTCTTTCCTTTCTCTCTTTCTCTTTCTCCCCCTCTATGTAGCCGCTTGTTTCCTTAACCCGTTCGCCGTTTCGTAAGACACAACCACCCAGAAAGACGATCCTCTCGCATAATTTACGTCTCCTCTAGTAATCTTTGTCTTCCCCCCCGGGGGAATTTCTAGCGCAACCTCTCATAACGAGGAATTTAAACACGAGCCATTTTCCCGAGCCAGTTTAGGCTAGGAATTTCATTTACGTAGGTACGTATTGTTCGTTTGTACGGGACGTTCGAGTCGAAACGTGGAGTGATTTATTCGATTATGCTAATTCCTCGATAGCGAATCTGAGAGATTCCTGGTGTTCGCTGATTGAAACGAGCGAGGAAACGAATGAGAATGTACGAAGAAAATCTTCTAGATGACGATCGCAATCGTGACGGTTGACGTAAATTTGCGTTGACGCGAGTTAATATTATCGTTGAATTATTACTGACTCTAATAATTTATGTTAAATTACTAAAGTTCACAACGTTTTTGATTTTATTGTGTACTTTACATTCTGCTCAGGAATTGACAGTTAAAATTAAATCAAATTAAAAATCTCCAAATCCAGCAATGTCTAAATTGTTTGCTTCGAGTGAATTGCCAGGCAAAGAATACTAATCACTAAGAATGTATTAAATATTGGATACAAAAATATTCGCAAGTTGACAAAATCCACTTGACCTGAAAATGATCGTGGCAAGCGACGCGCACCAAGCAGGTGACTCGATGGTATTTTAACTATGTTGAAACGCATTTGGCTCGGTTTAATTTGATCATGAATTATATGTTTGCGCCTCGATTCGGGAAGTCTTAAGATTGGACTTAAGTACATCACGTTTTTACGATCTTTCTCAAGGGGCCAGTTAATTGCCACTTTCAAGAGGTCAATGAAACGAATAATCGTACAAGAGCACATCTCGTGCATCGTGCATTGATCCTCTTTTCCCTCGCTGTCATCATTGTTGCCATTTTTGTTATTCGCAAAAACGATAACAATTGTCTTAATTAATAGAGTAGAATCTGTGCTTCCTATGAAAATTTTTGTTCAGAATTCCAAACTGTTAAACATGAAAGTATAAATAATGTGTGGCGAGCAAACAAAGGTGTAAAATTGATACATATACATATACATATACATATATATATATATATATATATATATATAT